TGTAAGTTCAAATAAAAATTATGCACTTAATATTAATTTAAAAAAATGGAAATTGATGCAAAACCCTTATATCTAACCCCATATTCTATAACACACTTTGTTTTTAGATTTTTTTTTAATTTCATTTAAGTATTTCTTTAATGTAGTGGATTTAGGGTGGAATTTTTGTCCGTTTTCACGCACCCTAGCATACAAGTTATTGTTAGGAAGCTCTTAATAATTAATTTAAATAGATACCACTTCTCATGTTGAGGGTTGTTTGGATAAAAATTTGGAAAACAGGAATTAAAATTATTTCGAGTACCTACCTTAGTTTTTTAACGTTAATTGTTAGATTGTTAGATTGCAACGGGTCCTTATCATGTTAATCTTGATTAAAAATGTTTTGTTTGCAATCAACACGAAAAGTTACTTATCTTTAGATGCAAATGGACTAGTGAAATGTTGGAATTATAGTTTCAATCAATGTACGTACACAATACGAGAAAAAAGGCAAACTTACAATATAACATACCATCCACGACTGCCAAAATTTATTACTTGTGGGGATAATGGAAAAATGTACTACTATGATGAAGAATCAAAGGTGCAAGAAAGAATATTAAGTGGAAGGTATTTTTTACCCAGTATAGCGATATGAAGTAATGATATATTGAAAATTTAAAAAGAATTCAAAAATATAAAATACTTTTCAGGACTTATATAGTTAAAAAAAAAGACGAAATATTTTGATATTGATTCCTTTTTCCGAAAATTACACAATTACTACTTCAGGTAATATTCATCTGACTTTTATTAATGCTAATTAATTCCGTGTTAAAGCGACAACAATTCCGTTTTGGATGGGCACTCTTCAAGAGTATTCGCTGCTTGTTTTAATCCCCAATCAAATTATGAATTAATCACTGGAGGTTGGGATGATGTTGTACTTTTTTGGGACCTTCGTCAACCATTCGCTTTGCGTCATTTATCAGGTCTACATATGGGGGGTGAAGGGCTAGATATTGATTCTGCTGGAAAAACTGTGAGTACTTACCATGTATGACACTGTACACTGCATAGACATATATGTACTAGGGTTTATACAAAAACCGACATCTTAGAAAACCGGTTTTCGAATAGTAATTTTTCCAGAAAAAAAATTTTTGCTCGAATATTCTGTAATTCGAACAAAAAATTTTAACAGAGTGATTAAAAGCAGTTTTTGACTGAAATTATTTACTGTTCAATTTTATTGATAGTAAAATTTTTTTATGCAATTTAGTAGAACAAAGAAATAATAGTTGACCAGGATTAAATAACTTTAAAAACAATAATTCGTTGTTTATGCATAATTTTCACATATAAGGATGTAAATATTTTTATAATAGTGAAACGAGTTATTCAGCAAAGGGTTCGAATAAATAAAAACAATATATTTTCATATTTTTATAATAACCGTAGATATTATTTTTTTCAAAAACAACCATATTAGATACAGATGGATACTTATTAAAAACAATTAGAAAATATATAACTGTGTA